ATAGGGCCATAAAAATAATACAAAGAAAGAAATAAAAATATGGGAATTAAAAGGAAAAAGAAATTAAAATCAGGAAAGAATTCATGGTGGCATTTTGACGGGCTCTGAAGGTTTATCTCAGTCAACAAAAACTTGAAGCAACTACCATGAATCAGACAGTATAAGTAAAAAGAAAAATAGGAAAATTTTATCTGCTAAACAGATGTATGAAGAAAACATGAGCAGGTATGTTTAGGTCTTAAAAGGGCACTGTTCGCCTCCTCCTTGCTTTCTCTTTTGAATCAGTCACTCTAGGAAAAACGAGCTGCCATATCTTGAGCACACGCAAGCAGCACTAAGGAGATGTCCACCTGGTGAGTAACTGAGGCCTCCCGCCAAGAGCTATGTCAGTGAACCATCTTGGAATTAACTCCAGCCTCAGTTAAGCCTTCAGATGACCGTGGGGTTAGCCAACATCTTCACAGCAACCTTATTACACCCTGAGCCAGAACTACCATGCCTTTTTGACTCTCAGAAACTGTGTGAGATAATAAATATTGTTTTAAGACCCTAACTTTTGGAAAAATCTGCTATACAACAATAAATACAAAAGACAAAGTGTGAAATCTCTAAACGCTTCCACTAGAGTTGATGAAGTTTTGTGCAAGCAGCTATAACAAAATCCACATCTGGGAATTGGAAGTCTAATAGCAATATGCAAGACGGATGGAATGAGAAGTATTTTGTATTTTTATCTCCCGCAATACCCTCTTAAAGGGTCTTGTAACATAGTGAACACCCAGTTTGGTAGCAAACTGGCCTATATACAGGATTTCCCAACTGATCCAACAGAGTAGTCTTAATGTTTCTTAAAAGTAAAACAGACCCTCAGAATCTCTCCATATAAATTCAATTCTGAAATCTATATTTTTTTTTTATTATTTCACTGTTTTGTTTTTAGCAAAGCCATAATCTTCCTTAACTGAGTTACAATATGTTATGAAAACTGAGACCTATTTAAGAAGCTCTTTTTTCTGAATTTAATCAAAATGAAAGAGTAACAGAGGGATTCTGGAGAGACTATGGATAGCTGCTTCAGAGTACCTAGTACAGTTCTGTTATGAAGTATTTGCAAAGTATTACTTTACATAAAACTATTTTATTGTCTCAACAATAAAGATCCTTAATAAACCTTAACAATAACCTCAATATGCAGCTTTCTAGTAATAATCTGATTTAAAAGTTTAGCCTCTATAGTAGAAAAAGATCTTCCCAATCATACTACTAAGAAGCAATAAAAGCCTGCTTTTCTAGTTTCAAAGCAACCTTAGTTATATATCAAAGTTCCCAACCCGTACGGCCAGGAGTCCAAACCTTGGCATGCACAAAACAGTAAGAGCCTTCTGGCCTTTGATGACCATTAACTTACTATAAACTGACACCATTTCCGCACACATATGCTTTTCACTTGACATCTGAATTTATCCCAAAAGGCTGTTAATAAGTGGTTGAAAGTGATCTTAGCTTTTACAAATAAATTATGGCTTATATTCTAGTTGGAGGAAAAAAACAACATAACGTAAAATGTTGTTGCTGTTAGTTGCCATCAGGTCAATTTCAACTCATAGTGACCCCATGTGTGCAGAGCAGAACTGCTCCATAGGGTTTTCAGGGCTGTGACCTTCTGGAAGCAGATTACCAGGCCTGTATTTTGAGGTGCATCTGCATGAGTTAGAAAAGTCAACCTTTCACTCAGTAGTCAACTTCTTAAATTAAGCAACTGCACCACCCAGGGACTCATTATATAAAAAGAGATAAATAACCACAAAAAGAGAGGCTGTTATTATCAACTCACCTATACATATAAGAAACTAAAGGTTCTTTTGTGCATAATCTGATTTAACAGCTAGAACTAATTTGTAAACTAAAAAAATGTTATAGGCACTTTAAATTCTAAACCTACTTAAATGCTAACTCAGCCTCTGAAATCGCGTAAAAGAAAAGGTAACTTTTTAAAATGTAAGCTTAAGTTCAAAGTTTAGGAAAAAAAAAAATTAGTTTTAATTGCCTAATATTATTCCCCTAGAGAAAATTCTACTACCTTTATAACCAAAGTAAAAGTAAAATTACATATCAACTTTAAGATTTTCTAAATTTACACAAGTAAACACATTTATAGACTTAAGATGGTTTTGATAAACTCTCTCCTGGGGAAAATAACTTTTTTTGTACCAAGTGTCATTTAACAGTTTGATAAATTACTCACTTTTCACCACACAACAGTTCCAATACATGCTTATAAAAGACTCAAAATGAAAATACTACCTTAGGTCATAATCTCTAATATCTAAGTCTCTTAATTCTTTTTTTAAAAGAGAGAATTAAATTTAGAAACATTTAAGAGATTTCAACAAGTTCTAAAGCATTTCAGAGACAAGTACGATCTTATTTCAATGTGATAAAAAACTGAATAGGTATTCTAATAGAAACACAGACTAAGTTCTGACATTTTAACAGTAATGCCTAAATATTTTTAAAAGCACTTTAAAACCACAATATCCTTCCACCAGTTACAAAAGACTTCCTACCATGAAATCAACCTATAAAATTTCCATAGATTGGGGTAATCTACAGGATAATTTGTAAAAATTACACATCCTTTCCACATTTAAAATAACTGAAAAAAAATTTTTTGTAAACCCTCAAAGACAACAAGAATTAAGATTATTAAGACCACAAACCAGTTTCATTAGTAATGTAAGGATTTTCCATGCAAGTGATAAATCTATTACCCTGTAATAGTATGTAAAAATTATTACATTTTGCCGTGTCTAATGTTTAAGCATTTTTTAAAAAAAGCAAGTATCCTTAGTTATCTTTTTACCTTATATGGACTTGTGACACCAAATTTCACTCCTTACTCTAAAGTATGATGTCAAAATTAGTTATTCAAATGAATCTAATGAATATCAAATGAAGCCAAAACTCCATTCTCTGAAATATTGCTTGACCAACAATTCACTGTGTCCTGAATGGATGTAGTGGGCAAATACTAACACACACAACACACACACACAAAGAAAACAACAACCCTGACATATACAATTTGTTACTTAAGGCAAATTATTGTAACTCTTGTAAACTGGAAATAGCTGGCAACTTGGGAACCTTAAAGGAGCCCTGGTGGTACAGTGGTTAGGCGCCTGGCTGCTAACTGAAAGGTCAGTGGTTTGAACCCACCGGCCGCTCTTCGGTACAAAGATGTGGCAGTCTGCTTTATAAAGATTACAGCCTTGGAAACCCTATCGGGCAGTTCTACCCTGTCCTATAGGGTCGCTATGAGTCAGAAACAACTCCACAGCAATGGGTTTTTGGTTTTGGAAACCTTTGTTCAGATCCAGCTCCACCACTTCCAAACTAGACTGTTTTGATAAGGAACTCAACTTGCTTCTTCATAGTTAAATGGAAGTCAAAATAATATTTAAACTGCACCATAGCTGTGAGGATGAAATGATCAAGACATTTAAACTGTGCAGTGCCAGGCAAATGTGCGTGTGTGTGTACACTTAGAAAACACAAAGAACTATGGTAGATGCCGACTATATAAACTACCATGAACTTTCAAGTATCTGGTGGTATCAATAAAAGGGGAAGACATAAATGATAAAACATACTTCACTGTGCAGTTCACATCAATTTTTAATTTTCTTGAGAGTATTTTTCTTCCTGTCTATGCCTATAGCTTAGTACAATATATCTAAGGTTTGCACAGCCTATTTACCCCATCCACAATGTTTTCTTCACAAGACGTTAAAGTAAATGTCAAACAGAACCAAATGGTAGATTTTCAAAATGTTCAGGCCCTTCTATTCTTTGTAACATTAAAGACAAACTAAAGTGTTCATTTTTATCAGTCAGCCATCGGAATTCCTGTAGAACTTGTAGGATACTTAAACTTTTAAACCAAAATTAATCTTGATTGGTATAAATTCTAGCAGATGGTCAAAATAAATGCTAACATACTTAATCTGTATAATATGGGTGATGTGGTTCTCTTTTTTAAAAATTACCTTAAAATACGAAGTTTTCCAAAAGGATCAAAAGTAACGATTCTAACAACTGAAACATATACTACAATAACTTTCTAAAATGTCCTTATAATACTGGGCACATTTTTAATTACTCTCCACGTTATTCCCAGTAAGCTTTAAAAAGTGATAATGCCTTCACAGGCCTCTCCAATACATGACCTTAACAATTATCTAAAATCACAATTCTCACTCTGAAGCGTTACTATAAAGAGTTTAAAAAGCACAGTAATATGCAGTTCCTTCAAGACTGTATTTTCTTAGAAGTCTTTGATTTAGCAAAGATATTTAAAAGACCAATTCGTTATTCTTTTCTACAGTGACCTGGTCATAAAACAGGAAAGGTTATTTAAAAAAATCAGGCTGAAGACCACATTAATGACTACTAAAAGAGAATGTGGAAAGCATTCATTAAATTTAAAAGTACCGTCTTGTTTTCTTTTAAGTAGAAAAAAGTGATAGTTGGGGTCTCCTTCCTGGACAAGGAAGTTAAATCCAAGCGAGACCAGCCATGTTGGAAAACACTTGTCAATAATAGTTCTAACAAGTGTTCACGAACAAGGTTGGATGGAGCCAACCCTGTGTATCGAGGTATACATCAAGGTCTCCTGCTCCACCAGGAGGTCTGGGCCTGCTTTGGAGGCTGTTTGGGAGTTGGAGCTGTCCTTAGGTCTGTAAGAAGTGCAAAGCCGAGGGGAAAGAGGGCGGGGAAAGAAGAGTTGGGAAGTGAAGGGAAATGGTTTGAGAGTTAGAAGCCGCTATCCGCTGCGAGAGGGGCGCGGCGGCGGAGAGCGATCTCCGAGTTGAAAGCCTAGAACAGGGGCCAAAGGTTCGGAAAGCAGGGGATCTCATCAAAAAGTCCCCTGGGTCCCCTCTGAGGGGCCCGGGAACGCACGAGGAGGAAGGGAAGGGGAATCGCTTCAGTGCACCTACCTGTCCTCCGAGTCCATGCGGCTCAGGGGCTCCCCATCCGACGACATCTCCAAGCTGCCTCGCCGGCCTCCGGAGGTCGCGCTGCTTCCGCCTCCCCCGGTCCCGTAGCCCTCGTCCCCGCCGCTAGAGACGACGCTACTACTGCTGCTGCCGCCCCCGCCGCCGCCCTGGCTGCCCCGCGGTCCCTTGGGCTCCTCCAGGCCCTCCTTGCCGTCCCCGTCTCCGCTGCTGCTGCTGGCGGCGCCGGGGCTCAGCGAGCGCGTCTCGTCGCTGCTGCTCCCGCCGCTGCTGCCCACCAGGCTCTCGGCGCTACTCTCCTCCTCGCCACCGCCGCTGCTGCTGCTCTCATCCTCCTCCTCGTCCTCCTCGTCGTCCTCATCTTCCCCGGCCTGGCTAGCGCTCTCGGGGCTAGGCTCCGACATCGTCTCCGCCTCGCCGCCCCCCACTCCGCCGCCGCCGCCCCCACCAACGCCCCCGTTCAGCAGCAGCGCCGCCACAGCCTCGGCCTCCGCCTCTTCTTCTTCCTCTTCCTCCTCTTCCTCAGGGGGCTCAGCCCGGCCCCGTCCCGCCGGGCCACGGCTGCCGGGGGGCAGAGGGCTCAGGCGGGAGAGCTCCTCCAGGTCGGCCATATCGGTGATAGCGGAGGCCATGGCGGCGCCTACTCCTCCACCTCCTCCCCGCCGCCGCCGCCGCCGCCGCCTCCTCTTTCGACTCTCGCTCCTTCGCCCCCTCCCAAACGCCCAAAACTCCGCCGACGCCGCTGCAGAGCAGGAGGAGGGCCCGCGAGCTGCGTCAGCCTGCACACGCGCTACGGAGCCCGCGCGGGGACAGGCGCGCCACTGCTCGCACTCACGCGGAGACAGCTGCGCGCCTGCGCGGCGGCACGCGGTGGCGCCTCCCCGGGCCGCCGATCCCGCGCTGGCATCCGCGCCCCTGCCCCGCCCGGACCTCGCTGAGTGCTAGGAGTTTCCTCGGGACCTTCCCACGTTCTCCGGGGCCGCGCAGTGGGCGGGACGCGAGAGAACGAAAACCCGAGGGCTGGTCGGAGATTTTAACAACCCTCCAAGTTCTCACGATAAAGTCATTCATTCCGAGACTGTTTGGAAATTGCTCGCTGTGTACAGGCGCTGAGCCAGGGATAGAACAAGTCCCCGGCCTTCTGAGAGGAGAGGCGATTAAAATGAACAAAAATAAGTAACACAATGCAAGGTGCTAAACCTATATGCGCAACCTAGAGCCACAGGGTTAGTCAACCTGTGTCTGAATCAGCTTCAAACCGGTTTTTGTAACAAGTTGCCAGAGGATGCTAATACTGCCTGTTAGGGATCAATTCTGAGAACCACTAGTAGAGCCCAAACCAAAACCCATTGCTATGGAGTCCATTCTGACTCAAACTGACCCTATAGGACACAGTAAAAGTGCCCCATAGTTTCCAAAGAGAGGCTGGTGGGTTTGCACTGCTGACCTTTTGGTCAGCATCCTGAGCTCTTAACCACTGGACCACCAGGCCTCCACTGGTAGAGCAGTGGTTCTCAAAATTCATTATATGTAAGAATCACTGGGGGGATCTTGTTAAAATGTAGCTTCTGGTTCAGTATATCTGAGGTGGAAATGCAAATTCTCAGCAGGGTTTCAAACCGCTTCTGGTTTGAAGCTCTGGTATCTTCGCATGGCACTTTCCCCTCTGTGACTCTGTCTTCCTCGTTTCTAAGACACCACTCAGAAGGGATTAGGATCCGCTCTACTCCATCAGGGGGCCCTGGTGGTGCAGTAGTTAAACACTCGGCTGCTAACCTAAAGGTGGGCCGAACCCACCAGCTGCCAGCTGCTCCTCAGGAAAAAGATGTAGCAATTGGCTTCAGCAAAGACTTACAGTCTTGGAAACTCTGTGGGGCAGTTCTACTCTGTCCTATTATGGGGTCGCAGTGAGTCGGAATCTACTTGAAGGCAGCGGATTTGGGTTTTGGGTAACCACCCTTGGCCTGTAACAAAATTGTATATATAAATTGAAGTTTAAGAGGTTTTTTTTTTTTAATTCGTGTGACCATAAAACTCGTGTTATTATAACGATTAAAGCAAATATATTTCTTTTTTATGTAAATAAGTATTAAACATAAAAGTAAAATTTTAGTGGAAAGCCATCTTACAGAGATGGAGTTGGATTTTTTTTTTCAACTAGTTTATCAGTGGATGAGTATTAACTAGAATAAGAAAGAGTTCAGCATCAATTCCAGTCTTTCAATTCGGTGCATGTAAATGCTGAGAAGATGTAAGCATTGAGAAATCTTGTTCACATAAATAAGTGCATGCCAATGAGTGGAGTTTTGTATACCAGTGTCACGCAATTCTTTGCACTCCTTCCAAAGTACACAGCAAAAAATCGACAACAACACTTTTAATGATCTTATCAGCTGACAACTCTGACTAGATACTCTTTCAACTTTGTTGAAAGCAAGTAACTGAAAACCGCCTGACTTGTAAAAGGATGCTACCCCGTTGTCATTCACCAGTATTCCCAATTGTCCCTTTCTTTGATGTCCCATAGGTTTTTGTAACGCTAGGGTATTGCACATTACTAACATTCTGGACGGTTGGAGCTATGTCTTTCACTCGTAAAATAGGAGAGGGGCAATTGGGGTAAGGGAGGTGGAAAAGGAGATCGCAGTATACCTTGACCGGCTCCAAGGCACGTTTTCAGGCAGATCAACTTCAGGGATCAGAGAACAGATTGACTTTTAAAAAGAATCTCTGCTTATTACGTACATCCTGGAAAATATTATGTCCAGTATTATGTCCACTGCGTTAGGCCTTTGGACAGCTGTTATATGGAATGTTGCCTTGTGGGAAAGCAAAATAATAAATAATTGTATGTGGCCTTATAGTTTATGGGTACCTTCACGCACACTACTGCCTTTTAAACTCAAAGCCACAATATAGGACATGTTAGGTAGATGGATTAGAAGTGTGTTGTTGTCCTGTATTGTAAATGAAGAATTATCAGAAAGTTTAACTTGTTTCCTCAAAAGTGTTTGAGTATATTTGCCAAGCACTGTGTTAAGCACTGGAGAGTAGGCTCACTTTTGGCTGGGTTAAACATGGAAAGCTCCATGAAAAAAAAAAGTAGGATTTGAACAGGTGTGTATGGTTAAGATACATGCTAACTACATGTAAGTTTAATTTGAGCTGGATCTTGAGTGATGAGAAATCTGTGTAGGAGGAAATTCTAGGACTAAGAAGCACTAACATGTAAAAGTATAAAAATTTATTCAAGACAGTGTTAATTAACCACAGGAAAGCAAAGCTGGAAAGCTAAAAAGAGTTAAAGATTAGATTGCAGAAGGTCTTGAATAAAAAGTTTTGACGTGGAAAGACAATGGGTATATACTGAGGTATTTTAATTAAGGTACGATAAGATGGTTGTAAGGCTATCTAATGTGAAGGGAATATGGTGAGAATGAGAAAAAGGGAATGGAGATTAAAAACCCACTGCTGTGGAGTCAATTCTGACTCATAGCAGCCCTGTAGGACAGAGTAGAGCTGCCCCATAGGGTTTTCCAAGGCTGTAAATCTTTACAGAAGCAGACTGCCACATCTTTCTCCCTTAGAGAGTGGCTGGTGGGTTTGAACCACTGACCTTTCAGTTAGCAGCTGAGCTCTTTAACTACTGCACCACCAGGGTTCCGTCAATGGAGATAAAAAACCAAACCCATTGCCATCGAGTCAATTCCAACTCATAATGACCCTATAGGACAGGGTAGAACTGCCCCATAGAGTTTCTAAGCAGCGCCTGGTAAATTTAAACTGCTGACCTTTTGGTTAGCAGCCGTAACACTTAACCACTACACCACCAGGGTTTCCGGATAGAGATTAGACACCTGAAAATAATAGGTATCAAAGCTACAAATGAATGCTCCAGCTGCAGTATTTATACTTGAAGATTAAAATGAGCTATCTTGGAGTAGGCTTCATAGGGAAAATTGTGAGTTTCCCATCACTCAAGAGTTTTTTTTATCACCAATTTTCAAAAAAAAAAAAAAAAGAAAGAATTGCATAATAAATACCTGTACACCTACCTAGATTCATAGACGACTAACACTTTCCCACATATGCATGCTCTCTCTCTCAGGTTCGCTGGCAGACTACATTGACTCTGTGCGTCTCCTAAGAACAAGGCCACTCTCTTACATAACTGTAGTGTCTGCTCACCGAATTTGCTGTAGTTAACTACAGGCAGGACCTCCTGCTGATGGAGTCCCTTTAGGCAGCATCAGGTGAGGATGGATGATACTACACCAAGAATGGTCCACGAACCAGCAGTTCGTTACTGGCCTGAAACCAGTTGAGTACTGAAATTAATGTTTAGAAATTGTTACACCTACTTGGCAGAGTAAATTGTCAAGGATTCCATTTTACTTGGATCCACAGTCAACGCCCATGGAAGCAGCAATTAAGAAATCAAACGACGTACTGCATTGGTCAAATCTGCTACAAAAGACCTCTTTAAAGTGTTAAAAAGCAAAAATGTCACTTTGAGGACTAAGGTGCTTCTGACCCACGCCATGGTATTTTCAATTGCCTCATATGCACATGAAAGCTGGACAATGAATAAGCAAAACCAAAGAAAAACTGATGCATTTGGATTATGGTGGTGGCAAAGAATATTGAATACACCATGGACTGCCAGAAGAATGAACAAATCTGTCTTGGAAGAAGTACAGCCAGAATGCTCCTTAGGGAAGATGGTGAGACTTCATCTCATGTACTTTGGACGTGTTATCAGGAGGGACCAGTCCCTGGAGAAGGACATCATGCTTGGTTAAAGTAGAGAGTCAGCAAAAAAGCAAGCGGAACACCCTCAAAGAGATGGATTGACACGGTGGCTGCCACAACAGGTTCAAACAGCAATGATTGTGAGGACGGCATAGGACTGGGCAGTGTTTTGTTCTGTTGTACATAGGGTGGCAGTGAGACAGAACCAACTTGATGGCACCTAACAATAACAACAATAAATCTAATAATAAAAAATCAGGGCTTGTATTTTTTATGTTATCTTTTTTTTTTTTTTCATAATTCTGGTAACTCATTTTTACTGTATTTTACAAAAGTATTGGAAATTTACCAAAAAAAACAAAAACAAAAAACAAACCTGGTCCTTCACACATTAAGAATCCCTGTTCTACAGTTCCATCCTTCCAGCTTGGAGAGTGCGTGAGTCTATAAGTAATTATAAATTGCCCAATGACACTCATTGCATAAAAGTTATTTGATTCGGAATATTATTCAAACTAATCAATCACAGTACTAATAAGGTCAAATTAGCAACAATAACTCAAACTTCACTGGCTCTTCTACGTAGCAAACCTACTAATATAATCATGACACCTCCAACTTCCAACGAAATGCATCAGAAAATATTTCTGAGAGCCCCTGCACTAAGGGCTTTCTCTCACATGCTCACACGCTCCTCTCCCAGCCCACTCCCTCCCCACCACCCATACTGACCCACAGTTCTAGGCACTGCAGGCTCCTACCAGGAACTGTGATACAAACAGCCAAAGCCACGGTGAAGTGTGAAGACACGGAGATCTTTGTGTTGATCTCTATTAGGGGAACCCCAAAGCAGACGGCTTATGCCCAACATTATATACAGTTTTCAGTGAAACAGCTCTTTATGTTTTCACT